TACCTATCACGTTTCTGGATGCCACGTAAAACAATGTGGGCGCGTGCCTTTTACGGCAGGGTATTATCTTTGGGTAACAACACGAATAATCGTGTTGAGTCATTAAATAGGCAGATTAAAAGATATGTACGCAAAAGCGACAGCTTGCACAAGTGCATGTACAAGGCTTTTAAGTGGAGTTCAATGACATTCTCTAGAAAAAGCATCGAAGACCAAATAATCAGTGGACGAACATACAATTATGATGCTCCACAGCGTTTTATACCCTTGCTGAACATGTTGACCCCATTCGCAAGATCCAAAGTGTTATACGAACTTAAAAAAATGCGTTTCGTTAATTTAGAATATGAAAGCGGCGAGTGGTTGTTTATGCTTGACCGCGGACAACATTACGAAGTAGATGTAAGTATTTGTGAATGCAATTGTATCACTTTTAATATGTGTCGATATCCGTGTCGCCATCTCCTGCTGGCATATATTAAAAGACGAAATCTAACAGGTAAGCTATTTAAATTATAAAATATAAACTGCATAGCTCATCAACTTCTTAGGTGTTGCTGTAGATGGAAATTAGACAATACGCACAATTTACAAAACAACACAGGCATTTCATTACGGAGACGAAGTAAAGAATATATACAACTTCAGCGGCTCCAAAGAATGTGCAAACAACGAATTGTTGAGAAATATGGTGAACACTTCGCGAATCAGGTGGAGAGAAAGGTCTACAGTTTTTACTTAAGAATTATAAACAGCTAGACAGCAGGTTTACGATTAACAGTTCTTTGTGGCTTTATTTTATACCACTTTTTATACAACTTGTAAACTTATCTTTCTACTTTAGTAGTCATGAAAAATCAACAAACTTTTTCTCATTTTTTATTTTCGTCTTCTTCATACTTTCATGGGGAGGTTTACCAATCGCTTTAACGAATAATTGTGTGTGAAAATTAAGAATTTGTACTACTGTATTAGTTACGAACTGTCGTTAGGACCTAGCGTTATATCGTTGTTCATTGTCAGGAATCAACGAGTCAAATAAAACAATAATGCGACTTCCACGTAAAACCTTACAGATTAGACAACCGCCTTACATATTTTCCGTTGTCAGATTACGTCCGTTATCAGGTTAGTATTAGTATGGAACTAGACAATTTCATGCGGCTAGTTCCTTGATAAGATGGATTACGTAGTCCTTAGACCACCCTTCCACTCACACTTCTTTGCTAAATTATGTTAACTCTTCAGATTGTCTTCACTTATCTTATTAGTTCTTAATTCACTGATTTATTCATTACATCTAGAATTATCACACAATTTATCTTATATGCTTCTGAGCTTCACTCGACTATTACACCACCCATCTTTTATGTTCCCTTAAGTCTAACACCAAATGACCTTTGACCTGTTCAAGCATATACATATGTATAGTTATTATTGATAACCTAGGTCATTCCAATTCTTTGCTTTCTATTATCTTTCATACTATTTCTTCCCTCAATCTTAAATTATAGCGCATATTCAGTTGTATGCAACTTATAAGAAACCACGAAATGTAATGCAGTCACATGATTGTGCGTCAATATTTGTTTTGGCTTTATTTAGACCATAATTATACAAACTTACAGGATTTATAATATAAAACACTGCGTATGGTTGTTATATTTATATTTAAATAATTCATTAGATGAATGAGCATAGCAGTAGGCAATATAAAACAGTTATCGTAAACTTGTAAACCGGTTTTCCACACGATCTTCCGTAATCCTAAATTCCATAAGCTTCATACTATTCTGAAAAACAACAAATCCGTTTTGAGACAAACAATTAAACTTTGTTCTCAGTATCATATTCAATAAGTTATTCAAATAGCAAGTAACAGACTGTGCCTATAAGTCTTTTATTAACAAGTAGTGACATTCATTCATAACTTCCTAAGTAACACAACAACTGTATTACCGAAACGGAGTGAAGAGTATATAATATTTGTGAACCCTATAACAGACAAGTCACAAATCAGTATTAACTAAAAAACATGGTTGTGTCACCATTCTCACAAGAAACACCGATCGTTTTATTCATGAAGATTTTGTTCCTACTTGATGTGGTGTTATACACTATTACTGCAGACATTCAGAAAGCCGCTGGACAACACTATAAACGTCAATTGTTACTCACATATTTTTTTTCTCAGATACGTTACATAATTATGTCACTTCAGTACAAAACAATGGTACCTCTAATGGATATAACTTTTTATGGCTAAATACAAACAAGTTATATAATATTCACAATTAGGTTAACGCTTGATTGCTTCTACTTACATTTAATAAACAACTACCGACATCCATGTTCACCGTCACCGCAATCAAGGAGGTGAACCATATGTAAAAGATTTTACGGTTCATTTTCATGAAAACTCAATCTGTGATGTATTTTTTGACTAGAAACACGGTGAACTTTACTTGCTTGAGTTTGTATTGTTACAAATAACTATATTAAGCTAACTTCAGATTTACTTACGTGGTGAGCAAGAAATACGTCAAACTGCCAATAAATTGAAATAAAAACTATGTTACAAGCACTAGCAATACAGAAATTGATGTGTCATGCAAAAAAGCCTGTTAATAGCTGATAAATAACGACACAAATAATCCACGACAATATGTAACGTGTGCGCGAAAATCCGTGGCTTACCCGCCAGTCCGTGCCCTTGCTTATCATATGGCATTTGAATAAGGAGCTATAAGACTAGACGCAGGTACGGTTAGGATGTGTAACGCGTGTCCATCCATCAGCTGCCGTGACAACTCATGGTGGTTAGAATAAGTTATGAGGGGACCCGAGTCTGTATGTTTCCCAAGAAAATGACGAAGGTATCTACTAAATCACTTAAATTTACTACATACGAACTAGATACTGAGAGGCTCGTATATCACAAGTTTCTTGCAACGATTAAGTAGATAAAACAAAGTAGCATTAGATTTAAAAATTTATTCAGGAACTTTCATTAAGAATCGAATATCAAAGGTTTAGACGAAGTCCCCGTTTATAAGTTGCACTGGTAATGTTAGGCTGCAGCATTGTTTTTTTTCAAACGAAAGAGTAAAACAAGTAGCTCAAAAAGTACTGGAAGTGGTTGTGAGACTAAAATGAATATCCAGCATCGTTTTTATGACCTGCTGTTCGTTGGGTCTCCCGTAAACAGTTCCATAGGGCCATAGTTCCAAGAGCGAAACAGTTTCTAGGGTCTGTGAAGGCTCACTCCTGTTGCATTCTAAATGAGAAAAATAGTGATGAATTTAGTCAGAAATGTGGAATAGATAAATAACCAAATCACATCTTTTTTAGCAAAGAATTTATGCAGTTTTGATTTACCTTGAGTTCATGAATATTAGATCAGGTCAACTACTATGACTTGTGCAAAGCATAACATGGACTTAGTACCGTATCGCAATGCTTTTATTATTTTGCTCCCATTTAAGTATTCCCATGCATCTGCGTCTAGTTTAACAGGAAGACATACAAGCAGAGTTAGTGTCTGATAAACTAAAAGTCCCAGTTGTCAAAAAGATTCTTAACATTTGTCCACAGCCTGCTGCATTTAATTGAGACACAGAAAACTCATCTTCTAAGACTGCATACTGCTCTTCTGCAGGCAAATAAAAGCTGACACTTAGCTATCCTGCTACCGATGTTATTGCTGGGGAAATTGTTTAATGACAGTGGTCTTGAAACATGAACAATGTTAGACGTACTGCCTACAAATAAACACCGAACGTACTTAAAGCTGTAGAGCCCGACAAAACCAAAACACGAAATATAGGCCATTTGACTTACCTAACAGAAGACGAAGGATACATATATATTGCTTTCAGACTGAAGACAACAGTCAGTTGTTCAGAAAAGCATAGTCTTCAGTACAACAAACATTTCTTCAGTAACATCATGCACTGACTGTCTATCTGGAAACAATAGACAATGTGATTAAACTAACTACGACTTGAGATATCATTCCAGCGTGCAATGAACGTACAGTGTAACGCAGTCAGACGTGGAGAATAAAAATTAAAAACAGGGCAAAATTAACAACACCACCTAGTTATTTAATTAAAAATACATTAAGAAATGATAAAATCTGTGATTACTTGAACGCACAGATGACCGTTATTACACTGGGCGATACATTAAGTTTACATGGTTGCGTTGCGGATAAATTCACCCTGAGAAACAATGCGTTTTTTAAGTCACCATAATAGAAATAACACGTCGGGAGCACATAAGATTTTGGGGGTCAGTTGACGGTGAATTGCACAATAAGATGGGAATACCCGTGTATGATGACAGTTTTTCTCATAACAAGTCCGCCATATTTGGAAAGCCCTCCCAGCTGAAGTGGCTACAATCAACCCAGAAGAAACTCAACAACCATTTACGTGCTCATAGTTGAATGTCCTCTGCTTCTGACAACTGTTGACCATACGCACTCATTAAGAAATACGCTTTGTACTTATTTTAATCATGATTATAATAATTTATTATTAGTAGTATGCCGCCATGCCACCTCACCGCTTATCATTGCCATTCATCAATCGTTTTGTATGTACATATCTACTGACGTATTTTCTTCATTTTTCGATAAGTTAGAAAGCCTGTTTATTTGCCTTGGATCCGTCTTCTGTCAGCTCCTTTTTATTTTGATTCTAACTTCTTCCATATAACAATAAATTGCTCGTAAAGTGATAACTGCCGATTCTGGAGGCCATACCTGACCAGAATAAACAGACTAATTTATACTCACTGTAACGCCTCCAAATAACGATCGAATTTAATAGGATTAGCAATCTAGTGGCTGAACAATCCACATTGAAGGATATCGTAAACCTGAATCAATATGAGAAGGTGAACTCAAAAGAGCTAATCAATTTTACACCAGTTCTTATGTAAATATATGGTGTTAATTAACACGAGCATTTAATTGTTTTACTATATAAATGAATAGTTACTGGTGAGAAACATGGTTGCACAATATCAAATGATTGGTGATGAACTATTCAGTCAGTTTGTCTTTCCCAACGGAGACTATTACGAAGGTCAGTACGCTATAAGAGATTCAGGAATTGTACGGCACGGAAAAGGCAAATTTGTTGGTGATTTTAGAAAACGGATGTTAGATGTGACAATATCAAATTCACTTAGCCAATCGTATAGAAATTTGTCAGACATCAATCCTGAATGTAAAAACAGAAACGGTTCTGATGTTTCAATGTTATGTGATTTATTTGGAGAAACGTTTCTTCATAAAGGATACTACTCAGGAGAATGGGTGAATGACAAAATTGAAGGATTTGGGAAAGTGAAATTTGCATCTGGATCTTACTATGAAGGCAGTTTTAAGGACAATAAGTTAGTCATTTTTTTACTATATTTGGAAGTTAAGTATTCACCGCGAAGTTTTCTAGAAGTGAAGATTGAATGCATATTATGTTCGAAATTAACATAAAACATTTTGTAGGATATCCTTAGTGTCTAGTTTCCAAAGCCAATGATAAGAGAACAAGTGACCTGTGTTTATCTGCAAGATCTCTAGTATTACTAAAATCTAATTTCAGTTTGACTTTATCAACAAGTGGTTCAGACTCAGCATCGTCTCGTAGAAAATTCCGACGATAGGCGGCTCAGTCCAAAAGACAAAACTGCGAGTGTAAACTATTTGATGTTGGTCTTTAAACTCTCGAGAATAGTCAGAAGCATCCTGTTTGTTGTGTGACGGTGTGAGTTATCACAATGAGTGGTTTGCATCACCACACACTTACTAGAATTCACTTTTGACAACCGATTTTTCGACCTATCCATCCCCCTGTTTAGTCGATTTTGTTATATATATTGTTTACAGATGTTCATGCTTTGACGTCAGCCCCATAATACAGAATGATTAGTCTTGAGAAATCTGGGTAAATACTATGAGTTAGATGAAAAAGAATGAGGCGTAGAGTGTCTCTTTGTATAACTCTAATCATCACACATTTTCGTAAGGATAACGTATAGTTTACTGTTATGGATTGTCTCTCATTTTTGAGAAATGTACTTAATTGCGTAACTTTCCATGTTTACTCGAGGCCCCAGTTGAGGAATAATATTTTGAAGGCTTTACTAGGGCAAATGAAAATGACATTTGTGAAAATTTTTCTACATTTGTTTGCAGTCCGATACTCCGTCGTATTAAAGAGATTAGGGAAACTCAATATACCTGCTCTTAAACCTCGTCTCTTTGCCAAGACAATATTTCTTTCCATGCAGTGTGAAATAACAGCACGAATATTTTTTTAGTTAGTTGACAAAAATATTTTTGTGATATTTTATTTGGCGGAAAAACTTATTTCTGATGTTTCGTGATTTGATGTAATTTACTTCTTTAAAATCAATAAGTAACTGAAATAAAATCAACACAAGTTTAAGTCGTACCAAGGAAAGAAAGCAATATATTTTAAACACAGTCAAAATCACACTAGATCTGTATGTATCGGTTTATGTCCTTTTTTCAAGGTGATTCTGTATGGCTTATCGCTGTATTTATGTGTATGAAAAATGTGTGTTTTGTAATATGAGATAGTAAGGCTTAATTTATATGTGCAGATCGTGTTGAATATTTGTAGAACCAAATTTTGCTGATGGATAAACAGTCCAAGTAGGATGAATAGTTAGGTCTTCTTTTCTATCAAAGGACAAAGGATTTATCATTAAATGAATTGCTTTGACTACTCGCCTCTCTTCATGGTTAGATATACATTTATGAAGTTTGTCGACACTTTTCCAATATTAATATGTCTATCAACGAAAATAGCACATACTGTTTCTGCCGATTTAATTTGTAAATATTTAATATTTAGAATACTTTTTAACTAAATAGTTTAAAAATGGTAGTTCACAACGTTCACCTTCCTTTTCAAAAGTGAAGTTGACGTTTTTTATAACGCGTTTATTAATTTAGAGAAATTTCTAAGGAGAGTCTTTTCAATAATGACAAATGTGTTATCTATATGTCTGAGCCAGATGTGTGATCTGAAGGTACTTGCAAAAATAAGCGAATTGATATAAAATATAAATAGATAAACAACAACCGGTGCTTCCTGGTTTTCAGTGATGGTCAAGCTTATACAGACCAAGGAAATAAATATTTAACTAATATATATATATCCCTATTAAGTGAATAGCGTTGAATTCAAGCATAGTTTGAGGGATTTCATGATTGAACTAATGCTTAATTCACATATGCTAGATAAGTTATTGTCATTCTCTTAAAAATCATCAACAAATTCAAGATATCAATCATTGGGAGTTCTTGCGCATAGAGACACATCGTCACACCTTACTACCTTTTACTTCATGTTGATAGATAATTCCGAAGTCGTCAGTTTAAATTAATATGAATTCTTTACGATACTATTTAATTTATTGTAAAGTAACTTTAATATATTGTATACATATTTAGGTAAAACACATGTGGAGGTATTTTAAAGCTCACTATTGGTATTAAAACGTTCTCATGTTTGTGAATTTCCGGTATCCCGCAGAAACGTGATGTGATATGGATTCAAACTATAAAGCCAACCATAGGGAGATCCAGATGAAAGGCTCTGGTCCTGCCAAAAATCTACTTGTATCTGACCTAAATTTATTTGTAACTGTTCAAAAAGTTTTGGATCTCTCCGCTAAATTCACTAAAGCCTCTAATTACACGGTCGAGATACGCACAAAACCAAAGTTCGTACAACAATGATTTGTTTAAAAAGCGGTTTTTTATTGAGGAATATATATAGTTACGCTAGATGGTTTATTTCTTCATTTTAAGCCTTCAGTTCTCAGAAATTTCATCATTACAGGTAGAAGAAATGCCTTACACTTTTCTAATATTAGTAGTTAAATAACGAAAATCCGGTATAAATCATAAAATTAATGACTTTTGTTTTTTATTTAGAATTTTTTTTGAGTCATTAACATTTTTTTCTAAATAGATGTATCTTTCAAATTAGGAGTTTAGTAGAAATTCAAATCATGCGAGGCGGCCTCATGGATGCGCACTTCTTAAGAGGCCCATAATAGGACGAAACGGCTGTCCGGTGCTTCCAGGTTTTTTATGGTGGTCTAGCTTCAATTAACTCATGATTTCAACTATAGAAATATATTAGAAGGGGTTTTGTGGAGATTTTAGTAATTTGATAGTCGAATTTACGAGTCAATTAAAGCTAGACTACCATGGAAAACCTGGAAACATTGGACGGCCGTTTCGTCCGACTGTGGGATTCCTCAACAGTGCACATCCACGATTCCGCCCACCGCAAGATTCGAACCTAGGATCTATCAGTCTCGCGCACGAGCGCCTAACCATTATAAATTTATTGATTTATTTTTCATATTATTTAAATAATCTTTTAATATTTTTTTATTTTTATAGAATGGATGGTTTAGGTACATACTATTGGCCAAGTGGTCATATATTAAAAGCACAATTTGAACAAAATAATATTCAAGAAAATTCCTTAATTGAATTAATTGATCCAGATGGTAAACAATGGACTGGACAATTTAAACGAAATTCTCAACAAAAATTAACTTTCAATGAAAATGATAAATGTTTAAATGAAACTCAATTGTTTTTTAATTTAAATGAATATTAACAAAAAAGAATAATTCAATAAATTTAATTTAAAATTTTTCTTTTTTTAAATTTTATTTTCAAAATAATAATGAAATGGTTACTTTGGAAACATCGTTTTTCAAATTATTTTAGGATGAATTTACTGAGAATTTTGAAGTGGATAGTAACTATTTGAATGAATTACCATTTTCTGAATCTTTATTTACTGGTCAGTAAATTTGTAAGAAAATAATAATAATAACATAATTATATGTATATTGAGTTGTTAAGTTATTCAAATATTTAACCTTCAATTTTTATTCATTTTAATGGGAATTTATTTCAATTAATCTAGTATAGCCAATTCAATAGAAGTGTAACTAAATCTCACATAATCAACTTGATCACTGTATAAACTTGTGTTTAGTAAACGAGTTAGAGAATTATATAATAGGGATAAAAGAATAATACATCATTCTGACCGGTACATTCATTTATAAATAACTCAAATTTGAGTAAGATCAAATAATTATTTCATTGAAATTTTAGTCATTTAAGTACTGTAAGACTTCGTTTTGTCAAAGTTGGGACCAGAAATTTTTAAGTATGTAAACCATTAGTTTCCATAAACTCCAGCTAGTAAGCAAAAACTGAAACTATAAATGATTTGCTTAGTTATTGAACTAAGAAGATTCTTTTTTTAAAAAAAAATAGATATTACACGTTGACATTGCTTACTTTGATCCCCTTTAATGTAATCAAATATATTAAGGATTTATTACAAGTACTATTGAATGATTTAAAAAGCAGTCTGAAAGCAGAGACAATTTGTTAGCGTATAACTTTAATGATTGTCCTAAGATAAAAAGTTAAGGAAAATATAGTGAGAACATTTTTGATAACAGAACGATTTAAAAATGTAAGAGAGATATGAACACAAAGAGGATATGATAATGAAGTTTGGTTGTATATAATAATTCTTATCTGCTAAACTATGTAATATGAGATATTACTGAGTTATTTTAGATGATAAATACGACGCTGGAATGATAACAATCCAGACAGCTTTGTTGTTGTTGTTGTTGTTTCTTTAAGCTATTTTCAAATAAGACAAAATATTACAACCAAATCTAGTTCAATTCATGAGTAGAAGTTTATGTAAAAGAAAAGATTAAATTTGCTTTTACATTAGTCTAATCTTTATAATACGTTCTATTTTAATAGATTTTGAAGTGATCAACAAAGAATTGGAAGAAACCAATCAATTATTTGATTACATTATTAAAGAAAATGAATCGCCTTGTACAATACAAACTGAACAAATAAAAACTAAAGAAAATTTAAAAATTACCAAGGGTAAAAAGTATATCCAATTATTGGATATGATATTGAATAGTAAATTAAAGGAAGAAAAAGAAGTATGAATTCATTTTCCTATTTATAAATACAATTTTATTTATTTACTATAACTAAACTTTATTCAATAGTTCTATTTAGATTTAGGTCAGTCAAAGTTAGTAGAGAAAAACTTTTTCTGTATCGCATATCAAATCTTTTTTAAGTGCTTTCGTAATCTATATTATGATCTTCAGGTGTCAACTCCTAATGATTTTGTTCAAAATTCAAGTGTTTCCATAGATGGAAGTATGATCTTTTGATGACGGTAAATTCCAACATTAAACAAACAAAACTACCCTACTCTCCCTGTTGTTAAGCTGATTGGCGAAAGGTTTCTCAAGTGTTTGGTTTCTTGAGAAAAAATCAAATTAACTGACACATTTCAGTCAGGCATTCAATAACTCAATAAATTGATGATACAATCTCACCTGAGTGTATGTAGATTTTGCTCACGTTACTCTCGCGCTAGCCAATATGATTTACTTAATCAAAACTCTTGCCCCTCGTGAGGGATAGGATGTTGACTATGGATCTCTAGCAAACTCTGTCCTGGACTGTCTTTCTCATTTGATTTTAAATACTATTTATGGTACTGATGTCTCCCACCAATTCCTGGCTCATGTGTTCTTTGGTCTACTTTTTTCTTTTACCTTGAGGATTCCAGGTTTAGGTTTGCCTTGTGATGCAGTTTAATGGTATCCGTAAAGTGTGTCCTACCCTAATCCGACATCTTTTTCGGATTTCCTTCTCAAATGGGAGTTGGTTCGTTCTCTTCCTCAGTAAATTATTAGTGATGGTCTCTGGTCGATTGATCTGTAGTATCTTACATAGACAGCTGTTTAAAAATGCTCATACTATTTTGGTGATAGTAATTTTCCAGGTCCAGATCCCTAAAACAGATCTGCCTTAACATCAGTGTCGAAAATTCTGTCGTTGTTGTCGGCTGACAGTGGTATTTTTCGTGAAGTTAGACTTTGCTGTCCAAATTCTATCCAATGGGTCTCATTCTCTTCAAACATTTCCGTATCAGGTCGTCCCATTTCATTCGCTAGTTAAATGACGTTCTCAGAACTCCACATTGTTTAAACGTTCCATGTTCCCATATTAATTGTTGACCTGAGGAATAGAAAATGTATAAGCCCTGTGACTTCCGAAGAATTTCGGCTTTCTCCATTAGGCATCAAAAATTCTATTTTAAGCCTTTCTCCTCGCAGAGTAGAGATTGTCTATTTTCTTCTGGTCAGTGACTTTGTAGCTATTATAATCTCTTTTTTTACGGTATGACCCAGCTATTCCTATTGCTAGTATTCTCGGACACCGATTCACTCGACAAGTCCTCAAATCAGAACACGGTTAAACAGGAAAGAGATTATATTCCAAATGACAAGGTTAGATGGAAGCAAGAAGCAAGTAAGAAGCACAATAGAGAAAACGTTAGCATATTTATAGTTTTTGCATGAGAAGATTCCAGAGTATTCTCCAACTATTGACTAGTGCTGATTGGATAAGAATTAGCCAATCAGCGTGTACCAAAGCAATCATGAATTGAGCATGCTTTAATCCAGTCTATGTCCCGCTAACAGTAGCCAAGTTCCTTTTTTCACGAGATGAAGTTAGTCCATTACCAGGCTTTGAGATTGGCAGTCACGTTCGGTTGGCTTCAGACGTAGTTACTGGCCATCATTAAAAACAGTCAAATAGTAAAACTACAGAACATATTCTAAAGTCATTATTTTTATTATTTACATTGAGGTTAAAGAAAATACTCGAATGTTACACAAACAAATTGAAAATGAACTAAACGCTTTGATAAATTCAAATAAAAAATTTAAAACATCTAAACAAATCAATCAAATAGAAAATACAAAACAAAACTCAAATCAAATTGTACTAGTAGATACTATTGAAAAGTTCAATACTTTTCCAGATGAAATTTGTCGAAATATTGAAAAGTTTTTACAATTAAATGATAAATCATTATCACAAAATAATAACACAGGTAATTCAAATATCATATTTTGTTGTTGTTGTTGCTGTTGTTGATGTTGATAAATCATCCTGGAAGAGTTTCTTCTTTTCTGTGTACTGTTGCAATGTAAAGTGGATAAATAAAAACTAGATCTTTAGAAGTAGGTTGAAGGTTACCGGTGAAGTTTGAAAAATAAAATATGAATAATTCAGAGCCCAACTAACTTAATGATGAGAAATACTTTCGATTAATCTCTACTTCTTTCTTGACTAACTAAATGATATTTTTCATTATTTTATGAACTGGATAAAAACACAACTGTATCTAATTTACTAGAATAACTATTAGGTCTAACTTACCTGTTAGGATAATAAAACCTTTTTCGCTTTCATGTAAAAACATCTATTAAGGTGTGTATTATCGCTTTGTTAATATTTATGACTAAAACTGAACAATTTCTGTTGGGATATATGTATCCTGATCGGATTATCTCGATATTACCAATTAGTCACAAATTTTTATTGAAGTTGGTTTATACAACTGATGAATCTTAAACAGGACCAAATGCATATGTTGGATTACACTGCAAGTTACTATCTAGCTTTATAAGAACGGTTAATTCAACGGCAATATCGAGGTATTGAGCTTGGAATCCACAAATACCAAAAAAAATAATAAAGCGAAAATACGAACTCTTATAAATAAAATTCACATTCATTGTAAAAATAAATAGATGCCTGGAATCAGTAGCTCAGAGAATAATGCTTTGGTATTTGATGAGATGTATACTGGGTTTGATCCTCAAAGTAAGCATCAGCACAGATGTTAATAAGTTCAGTTACCTTACTCCAAACAGGTGTAAACTCACTTCTGGGATTACACTCATAGGCACCACTCAACTTCAAGTGAAGTAGTATTCGATACCTGGAAAGAAGTTTCATTAAGAGTGTTCATTGCCTGCCTTGTTTTCTGATATTTTACAGACTTAATTAACGCAAACTTAACATTCAATAAACCTCAGTGTGTCGTTAACATAAATATCCATCATTTCATATGAAGCATTATTAGAAAATTTATAGATTGACATTAACTAGGTGGTTTATCATATGGTCTCACTGATGAGGAAAACTCTAAAATCACCAATCCACTATTAAAATGAGAAGGCTGGGAGTCAGAAATATAGTTTATCGACTAAACGATATATATATATATATATATATATATATATATATATATATATATATATATATATATATATATCAGAAAATCAATACACCGATAGTGTATGTACCATCCATTAGAAACAAAAGCCATTTCTTCGCTAAGCTCATGCAACTATTGTTTGTCAAATTTTCTATTTCCTTCATGTGTAAGAATTGTATATCATTCTAAGCTAAGATCTACTCTGTGCACAATGCATTTTTTGCAATTCATACATTGGACTGAAATTCACTTGCCAGTTTTTACTAACTCAAGTTAATTTGTTATTTAATATTATCATCTTCTAAAAACCATTAATATCTTCACTTTATTTACAAGTCCATGTAAGCGTAAAATACAAACGAAGACAAAGTCTGTTTGAAATTCATTTTAATTCGGTCCAGTTAGCTCGTGATGTCACAATGAGACATGATCTCCACATATTAGGTGCAAACCATTTTTATTAAATGTAAGAATATTTTTCCACGTATTAGAGTTGTGATTTTATGATTTTTCCAGTAAGGAACAAAAACAACAATGATTCCCATCAAAATAACGTTAAAACAGATGATTTGGATGAAGAGATAACCTCTAAATCCATCTTTAAAACAGAGTACATCAAAGAATGTCAAACGAATGAGGAAAAAGAAAGAGAAGACAGAATAAACAAACTACTTGACCAAGGTAAATATTTCAATCTCAATAAAAAATTACTTTCAAAACTATGTAAAATCGCTTTTTGTCAACATGTATGATAATAGACCCCCTAAGTGTTATTTATACCACTGAATAAATAATAAGTAATATAACATAGTCCGTAAAAATAATTGGGGAGATGATAGGTTACGCTATGTGATGTATAGCAAATAAGAATGGTTCACATAGGCGACTTCATTTTCGAAATCACACCATAGCAAATATTTACACTGTTCGACATAAAATTACATAATTTATTGCTTAACAATGATCAATTTACATAATATGATAACAAAGAATTTAACATTCTAAAGGAGAAGCTTTTATACAGTGACTCAACTGAAGTGTTATGAAACCTGAAAAAACTAGTCAAGAGTATCATAGAAGCTAAATAAAGATTTATAATTATTAAAATCCGTTGCATATGATCCCAATCAAGTAAAGAAAACTAATTCTAATAGGATAAGTTATAGAAACAATGAATTATCGTTTCGGGACAATAATTTAACGACGTATTGAAAGAGAAGAGATGATTTGCAAGACCATTCACTGCGACCATTATAAGTGAAAAAGTTGAATGAATATTTTCCTATTCACAAAATTGAGGGTCATTGTGATTTTGAAAGGAAAATATCTGAACCGTGCAACGAAGTCGAAATTGTACTGTAGCAAGAGCATCTCTACTCGCCTTATATTTGATTCCGAATGTTGAGTCTGTTTTGAATGAATACACTAAGTTGGAAGATGCTCTGTATAAGCATTTCTTACCCGTTCATGTCTAGTATCAGTTTTTAACCGCTTTAAATAGGAGGAATATCGAATTAGTATTGTGTTCAACTTCACAGGAAACCTTGTTTACTCTAATATTTGGTAGTTTCATGTTGTGGTAGTAACTGTTACAACTGTAATAAAAACTGACCAAGTTTAATTGTAGCATCCTATCTCATAATAAATATCTACGTATTACAATGATTGTTGTCTCACAACGAAAAAATATTAATGAGACTAAGTTAAATGAAGAGTGATTTAAATGGTCGGTTAGTGCATCTAACTCGGTAAATCGAAGTTGCTCATTGGTAACGTCAACGGCTGTAAAAGCGAGCAGCATTATTTCGAGACTGGTGGAAAATCAGTTTTCTCTGTGCTAAGTCTCCTTCCTCTCAAAAAGGAAGCGGAACTTTGCATTTACTGATTAAATTTATCCACTACCGAAGTCTAAATTTCATGAAATATTCTGTTTCAACAAATAACATTCAGAGATTAGATATCTCATGGATACCGATTATTAAACGAAGTACTGAGAAAATATCTAATATACACGATAATATAGTAATATTGCACGGTATTTAAATAGCAGTGACAAAATTCAGTAAACGTTAGGCTTAAACCTCGCAAAACAATCATATTCAAGTTAACTTTGACTTGCTGGCATGAATAACTGAGTTAATCTTAATTGTTAAAACCTAGTAAATAAAATGTGATCTAATATTTGACAGTGTTATAACGCTCGGTTTCCTCGTCTGCACGAATGGGTCGCTGATTGATTTAAACGAATATCTACACTAGATACCCTCCTAGTATCTATTCTACAGGACTACAACACGACTCAAACCAAGAATACGTGACCAGACTGACTAGAACGTAGGTAAATTTCCACACCAAAAACCGACAAAAATCAATAATAATATGGTTAGGAGAACATATAACTCATCTAGTCCCGGTCAGACTACCTATTTGTCTGACTAAAAAAACAACCAATCATTATCATTCTCGCTCATACACCACAGAGATCATGGAAATTCGTACTGAGCTCAGTAGTCTACTAGCGCCTTATATGCGTTTTTTATTAAGAATTAATCAATTCATATTCCGATAAGAATTAATTTTACACATTTAAGTGTGCCATCGAAAATAAATTTTCCAATATTTTGACTGAATAGCTCGGTTGGACTAGTTCATATTTATTGCCTTTGAGAACACTGCACATGATGAGAATGTTAATCATGTTTTGTCCTCCAGCCTGGATAGTTTAATGGTGAAGCTTTCATTGTCTTTATCGACACATCACCTATACACACTTCAATAAGAAGTGAGTTATCAGAACATCCCCACAGTTGATAAGCTGATAGTTCTGTTAACCTTTAATTTGATTGCCTATTGTCCATAGGTATGTAGCCGTTGTTTACCTGTCTGTTTTGATCATTTTCACCTCTGACCTGATCTTTGACCATTGAGTTGTTGATCCTTTTTCTTATTGGGTTGGTACTTTGAGTCACTTTCGATATGTCTACTGGTTTATGCATTGCTAGAGTCCCATGATTCTAAAAATGCTCTGGTTTTCTTTGTGTTTCTTCTGTCCAATATTTCAACGTCTTCCCAGTCAAAACCGTGTCCATATTTGTCCGTGTGCATTGATATGTGAGAAACTATCTCGGCATTTAACTGCACACTGATGTTCATGTAGACATAGACAGAACGACAGTCCACTTTATGTTTCTCGCAGATGATACAATTCATTTTATAGATGACATTTGGTCTGTTTCCTTTTGTCATAGTGTACTATGGTCTACATAATTTGGATTGCAAAGATTTTGTGTGTATGTATGTCACGTACATTCCTAGTGTCCTCATCAATCTGTTCGTGATCTTTGAGATGTTTTTCATGTAGGATAGAATTAGTCTTTTAATGATTTTTGTTATTTATCAAATGGAATGTAAATTGAGTGGGAAACTCAGTTGTTTGGCAGTTAGCCCTGAATTAATAAGTTGATATTTACCCTATTAATGAAGTTAATTTTTTCTTTATTTTTATCCAATGCGCGATGCAGAAATCGAAGTTGATTCAAGTGCATCTTTGCAAGGCAATCAGTGTAATCAATTCAGGAATCAAAATACATCATTTAATGAATCACTATTTAATTCATTCAACGGTAAATCAAGGCAAAATAACAAGAATTTCGTAAAACGCAACATCGAGGTGAGAATATTGAGTTTCTTTTTTGAAAATATGATAAGTGGTTATTTTATGTTTAAAAGTTCGGCAATGAAAGTCATTATTCCAGAGATGGGATGGAGAATAGCTTAGATAACTTCATTTAATGTCGCGTTAATTGCTTGAAAAAATCGGTCAATAATGAATAAACCCTAAGTATTAAGTTTATTTTCTAATGCTGAATGTGAATAATCAGTTTGCTGACATTTTGAACATTTATTCAATACCCTACACTTAAGATGAATAAGGTTTAAAAGGACTTTGTAGTAAATTTATGAAAGGAGTTTAAGTGGATTAAGAGTTTGTATGTGAAGACTATTGACACTAACTTGTAAGTAATCATTCTTATACCGTAGTTTAAATTCCATATATCTCACCTTCAAAAAACGACAGTTCAATTGTATTTGTATTATAATTTGATTTTTAAAACTTTTCAGTATGATGCTTAATAAACTAATCATATCTAAGGTAGAAATCCTACTGGATGTGTACAGTCCACTGTTAAGTCAGTTGACTTTACTAACTACTAAGTAACTGGAACTCAATAACATAAGTCAATATTAAATTTCCGAAATAATTCACTTACTGATGTTGAACTATCTAGGGAATATTAAGCTCATTATTTATTTCTCATTAACACTGGTAACATTTCAATGGATCTATCCAATACTAAAGCATTTTCCAGGTGAGACTATAATTTATGGACGAGCCAGTCAGAAGCTTTTGAGCGATCTCAAATTCACGGCGCTTGGTTCAGTACCCAATATTCACGTACGATCGGTTTACAGCGGATTTTAAGGAAGACTTTATAATTTAGCGGCTACAACAAATGAGATTAATAAGAAATTCCTTTATTTATGATTGCCGTAGTCAAATGACTCCTTGACCATGTGCAGACTATCTGATGATGTTGTATGTCGATGTAATACATGTTGGAGGAAGTAGTCCACTAGAACGGAAAGTTTTTTTCTCGATCCCGACTGAGACTCAGAGATTATGATAATTGTTGCAAACTGGATAATAAAAGAACCAGTAACACTGGCTGCGACTTTTGCACATATTACCGAAGCTTCAGCAGTTCAGTGGTGTGAAAATTTTCGAGATATATGTACAATAAAAGTGACAATCTTGCATGAGTCGTTTGGAGGAGTTGGAAGAATCGTAGAACTAAACGAAACAGCCGTTAGAAAGCGCAAGGTAAATAGAGGACTGGGTAAGTAGCATTTCCATAAATATACTTAACATGTCCTTGGTATATACGATGGACCAACTCAAAAAAGAACTTTCAGAGGGTGAGAAACCGTTTGTCCACAACGATACTACCAATTATACGAGAATATGCGCAGCCGGATACCACAATATACACGGATGACTGGAGAGCATATCGATGCTTACATAGGCTTGGTCACGTGTATCATGTCGTCGTCCATAAGCGGTATTTTATGGACCCCACCACCACAGTACACACTAATATAGAAGCAATGTGGTCGAGGCCAAAATGATTTTCGCGACCTTACCATGGCTCCAGAGGTCGACTACTATGGAGTCACATGGATGAGTTCCTGTATCGTATGTATTACGATTTCAGAACTGCAGAGCCTCTTTCTAACCTTGGAAATTTTTTAAACCATATTAAAGAAGTGCATTCGCTCTAATTTTTTGGTTTTGTATAGTATATTTTTACTCTATACTAACTGTTTTATAATTGGCTAGTATCTCCCAAGGTCACTTAAAATTCATTCATAAGTCATCCATAAATTATAATCTCGTCGATCTTTTTTTCATTATAAATCTTTTCATATTGAATAAATATCTTAATAGCTTGCATCACATTGGAAGGATATAATTCCAATGACAATTGAAGATAAAGAACGACTAGAAGAAATTCTAGCTGAAGACGAAGAAGAAATGCAAATTGTCAAACAGAATGATATACTTCAAAATGAAATGAATATTGCCATAGTAAATAATTTTTTTCCAATTTTTTATATTAATGCAAAATAATGTACAGACAGAGAAGAAGATTTGTAGCTCAGGTGGATGATTTTAGTGGAGTTTTGTTCTATGAGCTGTATGGTTTGATCGTGGAGCTTTCATCGTTATTCTGAATGACATCGTCAGTACAAACTCCAGGTTTGTGCTTAAAGTTCGGAATAACGATGAAAGCTCCACGATCAAACCATACAGCTCATAGAACAAAACTCCACCACAAATGTACAGGCAGATTGCTCCCACAGGAACGATTACACATATACATAGTGATGAATGAACTAAAATGGGGGATTTAAAAGATGAAAAATTAGAATATTTCTTGGCCTAAAAGTCTTCAAAGAGAGATACTATCCAGGAGAGTTGGAAGGTATTACTTTTAAAAAGTGAAGCGGTTACACAAGTAATGAGTTGAACTCGCTAAAAACATTTTTATTGTTAAATGAAGAATTTTATTTTGAAAAGCCCTATACTGATAATAATCGTATGCTCGACTCCAAGATGAAATTCATGGAATTTTAGTTAGAAGCCGTGACCAAAGAAGTTCAACAACCACAGGCGATATAAGATGGTCTCTAATATGGTGAATAGACTGAAGTTAGACTTCTGCATCACTGGATCTCGGCTCGGTAATTTAAACGCTGAACTTTCGAGAGCGAGATCAAAGGTCTTCGGTTCAACTCGTGGATACGGATACGTGGATGTACATTGTTTAGGTGTCCCATACTAGGACGAAACAACCATTCAGTGTTTTCGCAAGTGAATCTATGAAAATCCTGTAACCGTCACAAAAGCCAAAATTGAAGATTGAGAATCCTTAAAACAAATATCATAGCAGTAAAAGACGAGATGCGTTGGATCACGTGACACACAACTACACAATCCTGACCAACGATTGAGAATCAAACTTTATGGTAGACGATGGTCTTAATAACAGAAGTACATGCAAACACATAGTGAAACCCAAAAAAGAAGTCAGCATTACGACATAAATGTAGTCTAAGTGTGCAATTCGACTAAATTTACTAGTTTCTCTTGACAATTATCTATATATGATGTTGTCAGTCAAATAAGATTTGAGATATTTAGTTGCAATTTACTCAAACGTGAATCCTTATATAATTGATTTGGGATTGTATGACATGACAAAAAAAATTAACAAAAATCCAGTTACGCCTGTTCCAACACCATTTGTTTGAAATTTCTGAAAATAAGACTCCCCGCACAATCTGTATAAATACTTCTTTATATCATAAATTACAGACGAGCTGTCCGTTTTCATTTAACAACTAATCACAGTTCAATTCATATGACACATCATTTCTTAATGATCTTTGATCATTTCATAAACCATTGAATAACGAATTTTTAGATTGGCGGTCAATTCAGCTTCGTTTCCTTCATACAAGTGTTTTTTTTAAAGTAGGTCACATGGAACACTTGAAATTGTCAAATGTATCTGTTATCTCTCAAAGTTTGCTTAAATATAAAATGGTAATAACATATTTTGTGGTGAGGTTAAGGAGGTATTACTAGTTTCAGTCTCCTAAAACGATGGTCAGTTGTCAACTGTTTTATCTGTTGAATTTCATACCAGAAGTAAATTATCCTTTGAACGGATAACATTATATATTTAATGTCATAGATAGCCGGATGAATTATATATAAAGTAATAACTATAATGTTATAACTAATTGTTGTTAACATTCTTTTTCTTACGGACATCTTGTTTCGCACAAAACAGTTAGATAATCGTTTATGTAGTCGCGTGATTTGGTTTATACTAAAAACATAACATAATGTCATACCTTTGTGATTGATCATATTACTGTATATAACGTTTGGCTGTTTGCACCTGATGCGAAGCCTTGAATGCAAATGAAGTATTTTTACTCTACAAATCTTATTGTTCTTGCTTGGATTCATACTAAATGTTTTAGATTTTCTCATTTCATTTTAGCACAAAGAATCTAGTGACTCAATTCATAATGATAGATTACTGTCGATAGACAATATGGGCAGTATATTACAGCTATATTTAAATAGAACCAAGAGAAGTGGTTCATGTTTAGATGAGCCAGTATCAAATAATGATGATGATCAGAATCCTACAAACGATAAACGTAATTCAGTTAATCAGTTAATGTTGAAAGAAAATTGCCAACAGTCAGATAATCAATTGCTAGGAATGTTATGTCGTCTAAATGAAATCGATGAACAACTTGAAAAGTTTCAAATTCAAAGGAGAATAGACAATGAAAATACATCACAAATATTGTCTTCTTTAAGATCAACTGAAGAAGAAAACAAGGTATTGTTTGAAAATACCTATGAAATAATGTTTTATCACAGCGTATTGCATTACATTGATACAGTTTGTGTTTGTGATATTATCTGTTACGAGTTCAAATCACATTAGAAGCATCAATGTCAAGTTGCGCGAAACAAATGCTCGATACTTTCTTCAGATTGTGCCTTGACACTTGAAGCATTTTGACGAAAAATGAAGATGATTTCGCTGTGCATCTTGATATTAGTCAAGTTACTAATAAAAGACAAACGACGTCCATTGGTTTTTGTAATTAAACTTAGTTCATTGCAAAATTCCATATGTAAATTTCTTTTAGTAGTCGATAATGCAAACACAAAATCTATAATTTTAACATTATTATTTCTTTCTGAAAACCAAAATTGTCAATGTATATATGGTGAGTACATCATTGTTACTATATCCATTAGGTGTCATAACAAATGTTCACAAACACCTTTATGATTATGAAGAATGACGGTCATCAGTCTTGTCACATCATAGGGGTTGGATACCACTTAGGCTTTAGAAAATTTATTCACTAAACATAACCTATTTTTCTTGATGAATTAACTTTTTTTCAATATGCATCTTATTTTAATGTATAAGGATTCGATAGTTTGGATTGTCGAAATCTCAAATGAGGAAGTCTCATGTAAATGTAACACTTATGATCTATTAGATTTATTATACTCAATACTTCAATTCTATACTATTGGTTGATAAATATTTATTAATTTATCATAAATGTATTTTTCTAAAATTAATTACTTAATTAGATTTTTCGATTAATATTAATTAATAAGAACTTTTGTCAAAATTTCAATGAATAGTTTCACAATAGTTGTGCACCAAGGTAATCTAAGACACTAAGGTGGAGAATTATATTTATGTTAATCGTTGAGAATTTTTTAAATATAATTTCCTTCTTTAATGATACTAATTAGTGTAATATGTTGTTTATACATTATTTATATGAAGATCCTGAACGAATCTATACGCCCAGGAGAATATGCACTCAGTAAATACCAAGAAACTCGTGAAGTAAAAAAACGCCTCAATGAAATTGAAACTCGACTTGTTCAAATTCAAAAAATTAATTTTGAAGAGGTAAGCTATGGTAATCATGAAGTAATTTTATTCTTAATTTTTCTTATATTCTAACGGTTTCATAAAAAAACGTCTATGCTTCAGAAGCTTTAAGTAAGAATGAGTAAATATGTAATAATTAAATAGATGTACTATCTGTCGACAGTTAAATATTTCATACTCATTTAGAACATACATTATCAATGATCTAATTAATGAAAGTAACTTGTAGTTTTAAAACAAGTGAATACTGTTATTTTCAATAAAATGTGGTTACATTTAAAGTAACTTGTATAACAGATTTCTCATTCATCAAATAAATGTAATCACCATTCAATGACTGATATATGTGTCGTATACATCAATGAATAATACACATTATATCTGAAACATCTTTGGCAAAACTGGTTTGGTGGAATATACATTTTCAAAAGTGTACAAACATTTACTGCTGCCAAGTAATCACAAACTTCAGGAGAGTTTTAGGCGTTCCAGCTGACAGAGTGTGAACAACCAAAATTAAATTAAACATCCATTCCCACACTTTTACACACTCAATATTGTTAATTTTGGTTTCGAATACGTGTTTTGTATATAAATGGGATGAAGTTTAAGATTAATTTTGAAATGTTTTGAAAATATTAAAAGTCATAAGAACCGCTGTAATACGTGGAACACTAATTCCCGTTTTCAATTTATAATTTAAGTAATAACTGGGTTTGAATATTGTTTTTTGGACGTAATTCTCATAAATAGACATACTTAGTTATCTTGTTGTGACTGAAAAATAACTTCTATTTAATAAAATTGAAGATAACCAATATTTGAACTTCATTCGCCCAAATTATCTACAGTCTTTCGAATGTGTCTAATTTGCAACGACCTTGGAAATAAAATGACTGGGGAATTCGAAAATTATATTTTTTTCTATAGTTTAATTTATTTGAGATACTAAGGATTTTAAGTTTAAATGTTGTACATCTTTCTCTTAGAAATATGTTATAGAATTGTAATTTCTAGAACACACTATCAAGTCATATCTATTCGAAGTAAACAGCACTTAAAATCACTGAATTCTTAAGTAGTTTTAAACATATCTAATTGAAATATCCCTCCATGTTAGATGTACAGTAATAAATTACTTTCTTAAAAGGAATATGTTCTCCCATTTATAATTTTTATGTTATATATTTCTGGTACTACTGTATGAAACACTTATCGATCAATTTCATTTTTTGTTTCCAACCCCGCTTACCCCCCCACACACACACCAATACACACATACACCTGTCCAAATTTCTACTTTTTTCACTGTTATTATAATTATTGTTGTTGTTGTCGTCATGTAAATATTTCCATATTTTTCACGCTTTCACTATTAGTTAAATGCAATTTTATTTTTGATTTGTTATACTAAATTATGGAAGAATTCATCTAATAATATTGAACAATTAAATATTGATTTAAATGAATTAACACCAAATGATTAAGAATTGAATTTTATGGATAGTTCTGTTCATGTTTTTATTTATTAAAATAAAGTCAATGGATTAATTATTTATGTAATATTATATTTTATTTTAGCGGCATTTTAAATGATCAATCTTAAATGACCCATTTAAAAAGTTTTTGTTCAATTAGATCAATCAAAATACTGATTTTTTTTAAATGTAGTCATCTATCAATATAATGAAAAGTTTTAGACGACATTTGAGTGACGCCTTAGTAAACCTTGAAAATGTACACCCACTTACTAGAGCTAAATGAGGGTGATAAAGTAGCTTGAAGAATAAGGATTATGATTTACAGTTGATAATTAAGGTTAAAGATTAGATTTATGGTTTTCATCATGAACTGACATCAACCAAAATGTCAAAACACTATTTAGAAAAATGGTTGAATGGATTTCGCGCCAAAATCCAGGACCTGTTATCCTAAATCTGATTGGTTTTTTCATAAATTATAGTTTCGCGGTAATTTTTGAGGTTTCAATAGATTACTTGTACAAATAACTACTTCACAACCCATATGTAATAAAACTATTGGATTGAAAAGAAATACATGTACCTGACATTACACTATGAAAATAAATTGAGTTCGAACTGTTTTTTTAGTCAATATATGGAAAATTAATGTCCCTGGCAGAACTTAGATAATAAACGCCACTTTATAAATCACAACACGTGTAAGTATTATTATACGATGCATATATGGTATCTTCATCATTCTTATATGCATAAAAATTAGACAACAAACCGATGATGCTAAATATTATTTTAAATAAGTGGACATGTACAACTGTAAGTACCTTTTCCTAGTGAGAATATCTATAGAGAACTCGAAGTAATTAAAAAATTAAGTTGTTAATGAAGCTTTAGATGCTATAGATTTAGACCAATCTCCAGTGAGTTAACAAAATATTACAGATTAAATCTATTTACCAATTAGTAGGAAAAGACAATAATTGTAAGACCAGCGCTTAGATTATATATTTATATTGCATTGCCAATCATAATAAAAATCACTGGAATGTAACATTATTTTTCAAGAAATTTACAATGTTTTTTTTCCTTCAAAGTTTGTTGCAATAATGCTGTATGATGTTGCGTCGCTCTTACATAAAGAACTGAAATAACCCTCAATCAGTTCATCAGATGTCTTATAATGAGTTGCTGTCTCTATATATCAAAATCACATTGCCGAATTGACTTTTAGACTATCTAGCTTTTTCTTTGTACAATAGATCGTTTTCGTCCTTACCTTGGTCTTCACTTTGTCAGAAATCATTGTTGTCTATAGTATGCACTGTTTTGTGTAGTTGTATTCTGTTTAATAGGTCCTTTTCTGTTCTTTTTTGTATTACCGTTTCAAAATACCTGATAATAATAAAAATTGCTGTTAAGCTTATACACAAAGTAATTGGTTAGTGAAACTTCTTCCCTATACTCATGAATTGCTTAGACAGTTTACTTTTGTAATCATATGCCTTCATTAAAGAACTCTATTTTATTCACTAGCAAATAAAATGAAAGCAATTGTATATTGCACTTATATAATAGATTTTTAATACACTTTGCACAATGAAATAATACTTTACACTTTTCTAGTTGTCATCGATATAATAAAATTGATATTTCAGAAAATGGGTAAGTTGATCTGTGCTTATTATGATATTTTTTCAATCACCTTTATTGTTTATAATAATAATAATAATAATAATAATAATAATAATAATAATTGTTTTCATCCAATACCATAAACATATATGAAAATAGTAAAGATAATTATTCAGGCTTTAAGTGAATATTTGTTAGAGTTAACTATTGAACTTAACTACTAGTTATTTATTACATAGACACTATCACTTCATCAATTTGTATTAAAAATTTCAAAACTAAATATCAAGTTTCTATTAGTTACAGATCAAAGTAAGAATAGTGAAACATAATTTTTTTATAATAAATTCCTTTCTAATTTTACGACATTTCTATGTTATGTCAATGATTGTAGTAACTAAATTGAATCATATTTATAGTTATTTCAATAACATATTCATACAGTGTGTATAATTATAAGATACTTGTTATGTCCAAAACTCAATTCTATATAATCTGTATCATTTAACTGGTGCAAAAGAGAATGATTTCAAATAGGTGTTCATTATGATGCGTTTACAGACAAGAATACACAGGGGTGGAGGTGATTGTGTTTTTTTGTGTTGGACAGTGATTTGATTGAGTTAATGACTAATAATGAAAAATTTGGATAAATTTATTTATATAATTTATTGTTTTGTAATAAATACAGGAAGAAAAAGTTCAGGAAATACTTTCCAGATGTTGTATACAGGAAAATGTGATTAATTCTAAAGGTACCTGTAATGTCAATATGGATTCCGGTGAACTTAATAAGTAAGTTTAAGTAAGCTTAACTACTTGCCCAAACGTTTATATTCAGTTAAGACGGAATCGCTTTATATAATCCCGAAAAAAAATTTAATAAAAACTATATTGATGTTGTGGACTCCAACCTGGATAGTTGGTTGCAAACCTTTTCATTATTCATCTGAACAGGATCATCAGTACGTACTCCGAAAAAAGTAGATAAATAGAAGTTTCCCACAACTGAATAACAGCTTGTTTCGTATCTCTGGAATTTAATTAGTTGTTATCCATAACGATGTGGTTGTTGCTTGTATGTTTGGTTTGGTTGTTTTTTGTCCTTGTTGTTAGTCCTTTTTCTAATTGGGTGATAAGCTTTGATGGATTTCGATGTGTCTCTATTGATTTGTACTTGATTGGAGTGCCAGGCTTCCAAATATTCTCTGGCTTTCTTTGTATAATATTTTGATGTTTCATCCGTCGAGCTCATATTTATAGCTATTCACTTGCATTAATATGAGCGAACCTATGTCGTATCGTTAAATAGCTAACTGGTGTTCATGTAGACAGACGAAAAGGGCAGCTATATTGTACTATATAGATTTTGTTACAGCTATTACAAATTATCTTGTAAACGATGTTGAGATTTTCTTTGGTTTGGAGAATATTTTTTGATAGACCACAATTGAAAACCTGAAAGCACTGGACAGCCGTTTCATCCCGGTATGAGACTACTTAGCAATGTGCATTCACGACATCGGCTCAGTAGTCTAGAGGTTTGGCGTTTTGCGTGCGGGACCGAAAGTCCCGGGTTCGAGCCGCGTGTGTGCGGTGGTGGATGCACTCTGCTGAGTCCCAGGCTAAGACGAAACGGCCGTCCAGGTTTTGAACGGTGGTCTAGTTTATGAACTAATGAACTTAACTATTAAAATCACTACAATTTCCTCAAACTTCATTCTGATCATAATATTGTTTGCAACGATTTTTTCGACTCGCGGTCTACACCCGTTCCTAATAATCTAATTAAATCATTCAGGACCTCGGAGATGCTATTCATATAGGGTAAAATTATCCTACTTCATTCAGGGTTATACTTACATATTTCACTATTAAAGATGACAGTGCTGATAACTAAACTGTATGGAACCACTAATAACCAGACTGATAAGTCTCCTAAATGAACCATTGAATCGGTTTCCTAAGTTCTTCTAATAACCCCAGGCTAAATCCACACGGCAACTTGATCATGAAAGGAAAGGCGTGAAGTGTGAAAAGAACCCTTTACTGCAAGGTCAGTTTGCGTACATAAAATCAAGGGTAATTATAGTATTTCAGATGGCCTTGGTCTTCTGGAAGGTCCTTGAACCATGCTAAACATAAAAGCAGGATAGGTAATCAGAAATGTGATATATGTTCTCACTTTCTAAATGTTTCTGAGAAGCTTTTATTCAACGCTGATTAGATAAAATATTTCACAGAGTCCTAAGCCCCCATCTCTCCTGGACTTTTTCAAGAAACACTGGATCTCCACAACACAGACTTTTACAAGAGGGTTATTCGAAAATACATCATGCCTGATCATTTATTTAATGCACATCGTACGATAGGGGACATTGCTATATCTCCCGAAGATACCTACACTAACTCCGCCTCGGATACTGTGATTTCGAAAACTTCATACACAAATGAACGCTACCCTTTCCTTATCCTCTATTCAGAACAGCTGAAGTCAGGATGAGTAGTCCCATGTTTTATTATATTCTTTTGATTCACGACTTATACGATTTTATGAATGAAAGACCAGATAGTAAAGTATCTGTAAAGTCTAATTCGTCTAGCTGCATCCAAGTTGTTCATTGTATTCCGTGCTTCCAATGAGATGTGGTCTTCATAATCCAATCGACCACTAGAAAAGACAAAGGGTAAAATTAAGCAGTATTAATTGGCACCGGTTTTCGCTTCAAATGCATTTGTCAGCTGTTTTTCATGCACAACTTCGCAGTATATTCTTTCGTATGGATTCCATATGATGTTGATGATCCTAGGCAGGCCATAGTGCTGAACGTTTTATAAGGTTCTCATATGCACGCTGTCAAATGCTAACTCATTGTCAAAGAAGTTGATGTATAGTGGCCAGTTCGATTCAATTGATTGCACAACAATCATCTGTAGTGTCGCGATTTGGTTTATGCACGACCGATTCCTACTGAATCCAGCCTGTTGATTTCAAAGTTGGATGTCTATTGAATCCGACATTCGGTTCAACAGTACCCTGTTGAAAAGTTTTCCTGGCACTGATAGTAGTGTGATACCTCTGTAGTTCTCACACTTGCTAACATGTCTTTTGATATCTTAGTGAGGTATCCTTCATCCTCGTCTGTCAGCACTTGTTCTTCCTCCAAAATCTTCCTGAATATTACGTGGAGCATCTTTGTAGTTACTTCTATGTCTGGCTTCAGTGCTTCAACATGTATGTTGCCATATCCTGCTGAGTTTCCACTGTTGTTTTGTCTGATAGCCATGCTGATTTCTGTAAGAAAGTCTGTGTGTGCTGCCTCGATGTTCGGTAGGTTCAGTGGGGCTGATCTATTCAAGAATTCTTCAAAGTGTTCTACCCATCCGTCCCACTGTTCTTGAATGCCAATGATTGGCTTGCTTTTTTTGTTCTTTATAAATTGCTCTTGTTTGCCATATTTCCATGCTGTTTTCTTCGTTGTATCAAAAAGTTGTCTCATATTTCCTCCTCTTGCAGCTTTTTCCTATATTATTGCAAGGTTTTCCACGTATTTCTGCTTGTCGAGTTTAATGCTCCTCTTCACTCTTGTTTGCTTCTGTGCATTCAGCCTGTCTTGACTTCCTTTGCTCTTGTTCGGTTGTTGTTAATTGCTTTCTTCGTGTTCGTTCAGCTTCTCTCTTTGTTCTCACGTCTTCAATCGACCTTCAGGATTTTTCGGTGACGCAAACACGATTGATCTGGTACTCTGTAGTGTGATCCTGTGAGACCCATATGGCTTTGTTTGCGCTTGTTGGGGGATAGTGCCACCTATAACGATTTTAAAGAGAGTAAGAACAAAGGTTGGTGCAGAATAATATGAATTCATTTTATTTCGTTAGGTTCTCATCAGCTGCTTACAACCTAAAATATTTGAAATTCAACGTTATTATAGATATTGACATACTTATACAACAGAGGGCGATGAAGGATGAATATATATAACATAAAAAAAAGTGTTTAAGAAATAACGGATACCCATTGAAATTCATTGAGAAATATGGAAAACGTGAAGATAAAATACCCAAAGAAACTACAGTAAATAAAAAACCTGTTTTTATTCAACTTCAATTCAAAGGCGATAATGTCACAGGATCGATCAATATGAGACTAAAAACTGCACTGACAAAAACATATCCTGCAGCTAAATTGATTGTCCTGTCCAAAACGACATGTTCTTTGACACAATCAAAGGTCGACAGGTATCCCTTTCATGTTACCACCAACTGTGTATACAAATTTACATGTATCTGCCAAAGCAGTTACATTGGTAGAACAGAAAGGAGAGCCTACGTCCGATTCAAAGAACATATTCCGAAGAGTTTGAGATCAAACGGACTAAAAGCATTTAGCAGCGCTGTCGCAAGACATCTTCTTGACACAGGACACGAAGTCGATATACTGAAGTCCTTCAAGGTGATCAACAAACAATCAAATTCAAACCTTTTGAAATTCGCGGAAGCAATAGCAATCAAACGTTTAAAACCAGATCTTTGTATACAAAAAGAAACAGTAATAAATCTTTCTTTGCCCTGGTAACATTCACCCCACCCACTTTTATTTTATTTATTTTTATTACGTCATTTCAACTCTTTCTGAATTTTATAATTACATCATTCATAACTGACCAATTTCAATTCATATCTCTCTTTATTAACATTAATCTATTTTCAGTTACTTCATTACATAATCGTCTAATGTGTTTTAATTCCATGATTTCTAATCACTATTTCAATTTTCTGGAACCTCCCCTCCCAAACTCTATATATTCGAAACAAAATTCTATGACCTCATTAACTCTAACGAAATCTTTACCACATTATGTTATATATATTCATCCTTCATCGCCCTCTGTTGTATAAGTATGTCAATATCTATAATAACGTTGAATTTCAAATATTTTAGGTTGTAAGCAGCTGATGAGAACCTAACGAAATAAAATGAATTCATATTATTCTGCACCAACCTTTGTTCTTACTCTCTTTAAAATAATAAAGGGAACTATGTGTATGATATAACGATTTTGTTGAAGGCACATACATTTGAAAACCTCTCGCCATTTTCGTTCCATTCTTCCAGTCAGTCTATGTCGTCCCACAATATCTCCATACTCGGTGTTATCTATTCTAACTTTGGCATTCGGGTCTCCTATCATGATGGTCAGGTCGTTTCCTGGGCATTTCTCCACGATCGACTACAGCCTCTCATAAACTGATCTTTATAATCTTCATTGCTATCATTGGTTGGCGTATAGCACTGGATAACATTCATTGTGATTCCGTTTCTCTTTGTTTTAAAAGATGCTTAGGTGATCCTGGATCCATGAGTTTCCCATCGTCTAAGTGTTTTACGTGCTTCTTTGGACGGCATCAGAGCAACTCGTGTGTGTGTGTGTGGAGCATTTTCCTCTTCGTGACCCGAGTACACCGAAATCTCTCCCGAATCTAACCTTTTCTGTCCAGCTTGAATCCCATGAATTTCACTGATTCTGAGAACCATCAAGTTGTATTTCCCCATTTTTGCAGCTATTTGGTTAGTCCTACCGGTCTCCCTTATTTTCCGGGCATTCCATGTACATATTTAAATTGTTGCTCTGGTTGTTAGAAGAGGCACCAGCCTCATGAATTTCGAAGAATCTCGGCTTTCACCAAGAGGCGTCATAATTCTTCTGAATGAATATTCTTCAACTTCCAGATCAGAAGGGACGAACTGAGCGAAGAAAGTTCTTTTCAATTAGTTTTTCATCATGGCTCTACACTAATATATATATATATATATATATATATATATATATATATATATATATGATTTACAATAATGATATAATACTCATCGAGTGGATACGTTATGTAATAATTACATAGTGACATTTAAATTAACATTGAGTAATTGGAAGAAAGAGGATTATTAATATTCAAAGTAGTTAATAAATCAAGAAGTTGCTACGTTGCATAATATATGAAAAGGAGAGAAGGAACAGAGTTTTTTAATGGATGGTCAGTAGAATAGTAGTTACGTAAGAATCAAGAGATGAATGTTGGAAAATTATAAAGTTCAAAAACAACAAAAACAAAATTTGAAAACTTTTTTAAAAAAACCGAATGGAAGAAGTATGAAAAATATCCAGACCACCTTTCCTATTGAGTGCAGAGGGATTTAGCGTAATGTGAAGCACTTCGGCTACTCGCTTCTAAATTATTTTGATGTTTTCAATATCAATTTGGTGATTATTTACAATAACATGTACTGATATTGGTAATTTAATCTGTACATTTTCCAATTCTATATGATTATTAGGTCTTTTTATGTAACTTAAGTGCTCTTTGGTACGAGTCGAGATTTCACGGGAAGACTCTCAAATATAGAGCGCATCGATACAGCCTGACCAGTAGACACAATTTTGTGTGGAAGTGAACTGGACCGTATCTTTTATTCTAACTACAGCGTTTCTTAGAGCGTTGACTGTCTTATAGAAAGCTTTAATTTTGTACGCTTTCAATAACTATTGTAATTCCTCCGTCGTACCTTGGCGGCAAGGTAAAACCACAGAACTAATCCAAGACCTTTCATTATTTATTTATTTTAACACATAGATATTGGTACAAGAAGGCACCAAATACATATGCGCCACACAAATCTCATTCGATGTGTGAAGGCTGCGATACTGCCCGGGTGCCCAAACCGAGGCAGGTGGTTTTCTTAGGGGGCCACACCCGGAGCCTTTGACCTGAAGGTCTGATCCACAAGGCAGTGGAGCATCGTAAGGAGATGCAGTCCCATGGAAGCCGGTGACCAACAATTGGTTCATACGCCTTTTGCTCCTTCAGGATACTGGAGCCTACGTGCACCATTGATTTGGAATCCGGTTAAAGCGCCGGACATCCGCTTTTTGTCCTCTCATTTTTGTAAACACCCCCGCCACGAGAAGGCAGTGAGTAGGACTTCCCTGGCAGAGGCTATATACGCGTGGTGATGTGAGGGCATTTCGAGAGGGTGAGCGAACTCTCCCCACTCTCGGCCGTACCAGGGCATTTGGGGGCAGAACTTTCATTAAGATTGCTATTTACAGATGGACAATTTTGTATTGATAAGTTTTTTATATTATTCTTAGGGAAAATTTTAAAACGTAGGATGTTTATTGTATTCTCTTTTCCTTTTAGTTTGTCTCTTCTGAAGTAATAATCCTGGTTGCTCTTCTGAAGAGATCCAGGGCTAGGGAAATTTTCGTACCGAATGGATGTGCAGGGTTAAAATCGATATACCGATTAGAATGTGTCGGTTTTCGGTATATGGTTAGATTGAGACTATCATTAGAATTACTTTTAACTGAACTGTCGAAGAAAGGTAGTTCACCATGCTCATCTTCATTTCGAAAGTGAATTTGATGTGTTCTGAGAGCGTGTTTATGTGTTTGGAGAAATTGCTAACAAGTCTTTTTAAAGAGGACATTTGTGTTATCTATATATCTGAGCCAGATGAGTGGTCTGATGGTACTGGCAAGAATAAGCGACTCAATGTGGGAAATAAATAAATTTACAGCAATTGGGGATACTGGATGTCCCATAGCTACTCCATTCGTTTGTTTATATAAGGTCCCTTCGAAGCTGAAAAGTGTTACATTTAAGTAGTTTGAGGGATTTCATGATTAAACTAATGCTTAACGGACATCTGCGAAATAGAGTAATATCATTCTCTACTAAATCATTAACGAAATCAAGACATCTATCGACTGGAATGCTGTGTATAAAGATACATCATACCATTGTTCCGTTCTTGTTGATAGATAACTCTGAGATCTTTTATTTGAATTCATATGAATTCTTTACGACATTGATTAGCTTGTGTTGAAGTGGCATTAGTAAAGACTGTTGAAGCTAATATAGCTTAAACACGGAAATCATTTCGTTTAGAGTTTCTAGCATGTGACTAGAACGATTCAACTTGAAATGATAAATTAACACAATATATGAGGTAATAATGGTCTAGGAAACGATAAATTTATGTTTGATAAACTAAATAATCTAGAACAAAACATTCATTAGATGTTATCTTAGCATATTTATGAGTAAGAGAGGACAATATTGAATATTAAATACTTAAACCGCACACTAAAATAATTACATGCTTGACCAGGACATTACTATTTCTGAATAAGTTAATATAATATTTTCACTTATTTTAAAGAGGTTATTTCTCAATATATGTTATCTTGTAGACGAATTCTCTCCACCTAGGATAACGTCGAAGAGTTGGATATTACGAGAGTCAGAGTGTGAAGTACAAATAAGTAATGATTTATGTATGTTTCTCACCACTTGTACAAGGAAACCTATTTTGTATACAGCTAGTAATAATAAATAATCTGTAAATATGAAATATATATATCCTAATAATTCATCCAACTTACCGTTAATTTCCTATACTATTAAATAAATAATATATTTGTGATATCCCAATGAGTAGAAAATTAGATTTTCTGACGTTTCGTGGTTTAGTGTAAGTCACTTCTTCAGAGAATATTAAAATTAGAATTAATCCAAGTTTAAATAGTACAACGGAACAATAAGAATAGTATTTGATCAATCAAAAACATGTCTGAACAAGTTAATCAAAGGTCACGTATTTCATGCCCAATGATGGAGAGTTCAAACGCTAACTCTACAAATGATATCAACCTAATGTAACGTAACGATACACGGCAAACAGTACTTCAAACGTTGTTATGTCCTATGGCCCATCAAACATCACGTGACAAGGCCAGAACACCGACTTATATGACCTTGTCCATGTGCTAAACCAATGATGCGTTATACAGCACGAATAGCCTTGAGTCAACTCCGAGTCCTTATTGGTCCTCACCTAACCCAGCCGGTTCAGTCCAGAAAACAATTTAAGACTCTTACTGAATCGTATGATTCAGATATACTAGGCTTATATACAAGCAGATCAGACTACATCACACCATAAAATGAGGAATAATAATTAAGCAAGATTAAGTCAAAGTGTTTGTGTGAGATAATGCAACTGATAAATCGGGAATAAGTTAAAAGTGGTAAGTCGTATTGCAGTAGCCAAAAGGTCAAATGAAAGCTCATAATAAAAGGGATACAAATACATATATTCTAGTTTCTTATAGTTACCCAATAAAAATAAATAAATAATTCCTAGCAGTTACCATTCATTTATTCTTCGGATGTAACAAACGTTATTAATATACATACCTAACAAGCTGACATTTTGTATATAGTTTTATTTTACCTACAAGAAGTGGTATTACTGTACTTGTTTGGAAATATAATCTATGTTAGTGATCTTGTAACAAATGATGTAACACTGAATCAAAAAGTAACCAGCCAGAAAAGAGCAAAGGTTATGAAGGGAATTAGGAATTTCGGACTCATAATAGTAAAACAAACTGAATTGTAAAACTATAAAGAGCATTTAAGCGGTACTTATCAACAAGATATAATGATAAATAGGTATGAAAAAAGAATGATTTGCAGCAATTATCGTGAACATAAGAAAGTAACCTTGTCACGTCACTCAAATATACAATTTCAGTCATTTATAATATAACTCACTCTAAAATACATTCATATAAATGTCTATACAAAATTGAAGAAAGAAAAAACAAAGATGAGGGAGTCGAAAACATTTCTAGATTTGAAAATGATGTTCCATTTTGAAATCATTAATAAGTTTACGGTGCGTTGAGACTTTTAAACCCAACTGATCAATTTGATTAATAATGTGATCAGCTTGTAATAATAACTGGTTCACAAATTCTAGTTTTTTCGACATTAAGTTAACAACGGCTAATTGTAATATTGAATGTATTAGAGTATACACAATTTCATGCATTTCACGTTGTTTTGAAACGTTTGATTTCAGTAGTTCATTATCGTTAGAGTAATTATCAATGAAAAATTGATACTTGGTTTGACTTGTTTGAATAACTTGTTCAAGAATACGTTGAGACTCTGTAAATACATTTAAATCAGCATAGATAACGCTAATATCAATTAATAAATTTAAACAGTTTGCATGGTCTGAAGGATAAATTTGACTGGCAATTTCATAAGCTCGTTGAGCATAAACTAAAGCTTCTGTTTGTCTTTGATTAGCAAAGAGAAATCTGTGAATTAAAAATAAATATGTAATTGGACGCAATTTTCCATAGCTATGAATAATACCCATTGAAATTTATCCAGAAATATGCGAAAAGCGATCCTCGTACAAAATACGATGGAGTAAAAAGGAAAACCTGCTTCTTACACTTACGTTTCAAAGGTGATGAAATTGCCGGAATAATTAATCATAGAATAAACTCTGCGTTGAAATTCACCTACTCAGCAGCAAAACTTATGACAGTATGGCAAACGAACTGCTCACTTCAACAAACCAAAATCGACAAGCCCTCTTTTCTTAGTAGCTCCAACTGCATCTACCATTTCACATGTACGTGCCAAAGCACAAACATTGGAAGAACTGAGAGAAGAGTGCATGTTCGCATTTCTGAGCATGTTCCAAAAACCTTGAGTCTGCGAGGGAATAAGGCCTTCAACAGCGCAATAGCTCGACATCTACTTGACACCGGACACACCATCGACATTCCGCATGCTTTCAAAATTATCAATAGACAAATAAGTATGACCACCATTCGTTTTGCTGAAGCGATCATGATCAAAAAACTTAAACCTGACTTATGCATCCAAAAAGAGACTTTAATTAACTTATCACTACCCTGGTAACCCTTCTTAAAATACATTATTATTCACACATTTCCACTACCTGATCCTCTTAAATTATTTTAACTTTTCAAATTCTATTTAATTATTATTACGTAACCTATCTTATGATTATTCGATTCCATTATTACACCACCCAACCTGAATTATTGGGGCAGCATCATTGATGAACAGGGTGGATCTGATGCAGACGTGAAGGCGCGGATCGGCAAAGCAAGAGCAGCATATTTACAACTGAGGAACATCTGGAACTCAAAGCAACTGTCAACCAACACCAAGGTCAGGATTTTCAATACAAATGTCAAGACAGTTCTACTGTATGGGGCAGAAACCTGGAGAACTACAAAAGCCATCATCCAGAAAATACAGGTGTTTATTAACAATTGTCTACGCAAAATACTTCAGATCCATTGGCTGGACACTATTAGCAACAACGCACTGTGGGAGATAACAAACCAGATCCCAGCGGAGGAAGAAATCAGAAAGAAGCGCTGGAAGTGGATAGGACACACATTGAGGAAAGCACCCAACTGCGTCACAAGACAAGCCCTCACATGGAATCCTGAAGGTCAAAGGAAAAGAGGAAGACCAAAGAACACATTACGCCGGGAAATGGATATAGACATGAGAAAAATGAACAAGAATTGGATGGAACTAGAAAAGAAGGCCCAGGATAGAGTGGGTTGGAGAATGCTGGTCAGCGGCCTATGCTCCATTGGGAGTAACAGGCGTAAGTAAGTAAGTAACCTGAATTAATTCCTTTTGACCTCTGACCTGTTCTAGCATATATATATATATAGTTATTATTGTAACCCAGTTATTTACACTCGGCTATGTCAATTGTTTTCACTCTATCTCAATGTAAAAATTCTATCACATTTTTGGTTTGTAAGCAGCTGACGAGAAACCTCGAAATAATATGAATTCATACTATTCTGCACCAATATTTGTTCTTGCTTTAATTTGAAATTTGATTTATGGTTAAAAGTGTACCAAATTCATGCTTGTTCTTGACCGAAAAAGACAAACATATTGAGTTACAGAATAAACAGCTTGCATATAAACCAATCACTTATTATTTGTTATACGAGTAGCGTATGTATGGCTGACATTTCGTTGTATACACGCCTTAAGAACAGCTTTAAGTAAGCTTTGTAAGATTTAATATTATTCATTGAACATTCTAGCAAGACATAATAAAATGTGCAAAAATTTGGAATTATTGGCTAGCTACACTTTGTTTACTAGATTTACCGTACAAATGAAACATTATTTGTTTCAATTTGTATTTTATTTATTTAAACATATACACATTGGTACAAGGAGGCACCAAATATATGTGCGCCACACTTCATTATTCGATTAGTATGAGGGCTTGAATACCACACGGGTCCTCAAACTGAAGCAGGTGGTTTTCTCAGGGAGCTACACTCCGAGCATCTGACCTAGAGGTCTATTCCACAACGCAGTAGAACGCCGTTAGTAGATGGAGCCCCATGAGTCAACCCAATGAGTCAGTCGACATCAAAACAATGATAGCTCAACGATTCATTACGAAAAAAAACTAATCTCGAAACCTAGACATTTGATGATTTTGGTCATTTAAATCCGGAATTGGTAAATTACGCATCCAGTAAAAAGCCCCTAAAATTGATTAGCTCAGAGGATGCAATCAAATTCATTGTTGAATATTTCAATTGACGGCTAAATATTTTTACGATAATTTAACTTATACTATCAGCACGGGAAGAATCATTAAAAAATATATACCAACCTAAACTGGACAGGCCAAATGACCATGAAGAGTCTCATTTGATTGTATTTACAAAAACCATTAATAGGACTTACTTGGCGAAATAATTACAACACATTCCCAGTAAAGCTTTTTCATTTATATGGTCGATACTTTCATCGAAACTTGTTAACTTTTCCTCTTGGTTTTCTATACAAAATCGAAAACCCTTCTCAGCATCACCTAATCTACCAGACTTTTCGAAAAGCATGGACATTTTAAGTGACAGCTCAATAAACATTGCATCATTCGGTGATATTTTGGCTGTTAAACAATCCTCCATTGTCTGTTTAATTAATTTTTCTGCTTCTAAATAATTTCCCATAAGGAGATTTAGATTTGCCATCTCGGAACATATCCGTGCACGTTTATCGATGTATTCGCGATTGGTTAACTCATGATTTTGATAAGACTGGTTGACAAACCACAGTAGTTCATGTAATTTATCATTCGCCACACTGAATTCACCCGTAGCTATATGAAATAACGAATCATTGAATAGTTGTTGACACTGTTCGTGTATATCTTTCTTTTTCCATAATTCCAATGGCCACCAAGTAAATGATACAGTAAAAGACAAAGTTTTGGTAAATGTTGGCAAAATTCGAGGACTGGATTGAGTACACAATAAACTGAGAAATAAAAATAAATGTTTTAGAGTTTAAATAACATGGGTTTCTCTATTTTAACAGTAACATAGTTAACAAACTTATTACTTTGTAGGCAAAGTGACTTGCTGTTCGTTACATCGAAGAGTAATAAAACTATAGATAGTAAATTTAAAGTCCGACAGCGGAACTATAGTGATGACTGTATTGGTATATAGTAGAATTAAGACGTTCCCCACGAATAGCTAGTATCTCTATCAATGCGGCCTACTGAAAACGAGAAAAGAGACCCGGAAAGGCCGGAACGAGAAATAGTACATCTTATTTCCGGTGCTAATGTTGAGGTCTTAAAAGGAGCTAAGACATCGAAAACTCACGAAGTTGCGAGTGATGAGCCTGAAGCAGAAATTACTCAAGCTATGAGGATACAATTTATGTACCGCAAAAATTTCCCCCTCAATCAAGTTTCATTTTCAGGGCCCTTGGAAAAGATACTTTCTTAGTGTCTGTGTGTGAGCAGGAAGTGATAACACGGTTTTACATACTTAAGTAGAATGACTGCTGTGTTTTGTAGAACTACCCGGCAAGTTATTACATCAATATGAACATCATTTACCCACAAGTTGGGGTGAATGTAATAGCCAAAAGCAGGTGCTTCAGTGATAAAAAGCCTCCTTTAGACCCTCCCCCCACTTCAGAAAAGTTTCAAACCTCTCCTTAACCATTCTGATTTCGGGAGTTAAATAACATCATTAAACACTAGACAGTGCTCTTCAAAGTTACATGCAGAAACCCGCATTCAGCGAACAAAGTACATTAAATTTAGTGTTTAAACATTAATGTTACAACGTACAAGAAATTTGCCGTAGTACTCCTAACACGAACAAATGAAGTGATTTTAGTAAGTCTTAGCAGCCGTTCTCATTGATATGAAACTACAAAAACTGGGGTTCATTTGGATGTATTCATGCATCCACAAAAGTATAAGGAAATCCTAAAAATGATAGGCAATCAATTAGGAGTTCATTTTAACAAAATAATTTTTTTGGCTGAAGGTAGAGTCAGACAGTTCCATTTAAAACATAAAGTTCGACATACCTGTAAACACGATAACGATAAAACCTCGTAAACCGTGAAATATATTTCAGCATTTTAAACTGATACACGACCAAACTTCATTTCACCACAATCTTCAATACGCCTGCAAATATTTAAAACGTATTGGTAAAATATTTGATTAAAAAGCCCAAATCGGTACATACAATCAGATTTTGAAAATTAAGCATTTAGTTCTACTTACAAATTTCGTGAGGCTGCATTCGGAATATAGGATTCAGACAGAGAATCCTTTTTGAAACCAATTCAATGGCGAGGAATCAGAATGCTAAATGGTCTCTCGCCTATATTATGAAGACAGACGGAGACGAATTAACCTAGTTCTTTTATTTTGCCGCAGGTTATAGGCTGATTTGATACTAACTTACCGAACACAAACGATTATTTTAGTACCGTTATGTCTTATATTTTTCTTCACTCTAGGACTGCTCATCAGAGAGGACATTGTAAGAAGGTTCAAAAACCGAGACCATATCGTCTACCTCCCGAGTCCCGTTTCTTGCACCGAGTAATGAATTATTGGAATTCTCTACCAAAACACGTAGTACCAGCACCTGTTTAAAATTCCAAAGCGATCGCTTTGAAATCATAAACTCAATCTTAGATCGAGTTTTCACAGTACTGGAGATCGCAAGGGTAAACACAGGTCGATTGACCTGTCCTTATGAAAACAGGAGGTATGCTACTAAAGACTGAAATACACGAGACTATAATTTATGGACAGACCAATTAGACATAAGATAACGGGACTTGGGTTTTGGCGCGAAATTCACACACCAATTTGGCTACATAGCGTCTTGGCATTTCAGCTGACAGTTCGTAATAAAAACCATAAATCGAATTCCTAACCATAACCATCAACTGTAAATCATGATTCCATTCCCTCACACTTTTACAACCCTCATTCAGTCCGCGTTTGTAGGTGGACACTCACAATGTCACTTAAGCGTCGACCAAAGGTCGTCCACAAGTTATAGATTCACCAGTGAGAAAATAAACGACATCACAACAAGAAAGTTCTGGTACATGACAATTCTTGAGTACTATAAGTGGTTGGTCCGAAAAGTACCCTCTCGTAATTCGAAAACAAAGTATTTTATATCGTTCTACATTATATCTCACATAGTAACTATATCCTTCTAGTATAATAACAATTATGTTAAAAATACTGAATGGAGATTAACCCCACTCCTGCTCGCAATTTTAACCTTGAGTCTGACAACCGACCCAAATGGTTCTGGACGGAATAAAGGCTTTCGCTTAACGGGCTTCCGTATCTGGTGGCATTGGATAACCGATTCCTCCAGGAAATAATCTAGGTGTATTTAATGATAAAAGAAAAAAGTGGTTGGTAAATTATGGTAAGATACTGTCCTGAGTCCCTAAGAATATGTCAATTTTTATCTTAATGGACTTCTGGGAAGCCGTTTGGAATAGCTCAGTCGGCCACGAATTCCGACGTTTAACTACCCTTAAATAATAGAATGTATACCTACAATCCGTTCTGTTGTGTTGTATCTCCAGCTTCTGGGCGCTACTCCTAAGGCTTGTGTTAAGATTAAGCTGAAGTAGGTGTTTAATGGGATGCTCAAAAGTGTTTATGATGCTATAAGGTTACCTCTGGTGGGCAAATGTTAAGTGATTGAAGTTGCTCTTCAAAAGACTTGAGTTTTAGTCCCAGAACTGATATTTTGTCTCGCCGTTGGATACGTCCCAGAGAGTCCTTATCCTTGTGGAATGAGGGAGAAAACACTATGTTTCCGTACTCTAGATGGGGTCGAATAAAACTGTTGAAGATGAGATGAAAAGTTCCGTCGAAATGGTCACAAATACACTTCACCGTTACCAGTAGACGTTTTACTCGAAAGACATTTTGGTTGCAGTTAGTTTAAGACTTCAGATCGTAGGGTACAAACAGCAATAAATCTTTGTAAACCTCTATGCCTCTAGAGGGTAGTTACTTATGTTGTGCTGGTAGTCTGCAACATGTGTCAGATGGACTACTTTACACTTTGGAGGGTTAACGGTTATTCCGTTGTTATCTGCCGAAATCTGAAGTCGAGTCATCCATCTGAAGTTCCAGTTTGTCACCCAAGTTGTATACTTCTCTCCAGAACTTCATATTACCAACGAAAATTAATGAGTCTGGCGATACCTGCTGTAGAAGATCGTTTTTATAAATGAATGAAAGGACAGGTCCTAGTTCTGAACCTTGAGGGACCCCACTAGAACATTCCATAACCCGGAAGAAAGTGAAGCTAACCCTAACCTTAAAATGTCGATTATTTAACAATGAAGTGAGCCAACTAATTAAAAGCGATTTGATACCTAATCGTCCGAGCGTATTGATAAGATATAAGGTTGACCCTGCAAAAAGGTTTTGAGAAGTTAAGATATATAACATCAACTCTCCCCTTGGGATCAAGGATGGTTGTCCACCTGTCCACCACAGTCAGCAGGTTGGTTATACGAAAGTGACATTTACTGAAACCGTGCTGTTGGGGTGTAAAGAAGTTTATGGATAATAAATAGTTGTGTAAACTGTCACATTTCAGGGACTCCATAACTTTTGAGGTTATTGAGAGGAGTGCCCCTGGTTGGTAGCTTGGAGTTTCGCTACGTTGGCCTACTTGGAAAATTTGCGTAATGTGAGCCAGCTTCCAATTTTCTGGTAATATGCTTCGGCTTAGCGAATGAGAGAATATAACGCTAAGCGGTGTTACCAAGATAGAAGCAGAATGGCGGCGTCACTGCCATTGTTGGTTGGGCCATCAGGACCTAACAGTCGGAAAACTCCGGTTTCGACTTGTCGAAGAGAGGCTGAGTGGCGGAATAAGCTTTTCGGACTGTAGACAAATTTGTCGATAAGCTTTATCTGATACTGAAGCCTGTCTTTTTAATTGCCTTTTTGCATCAGTTGACGTTGTGGCTCTTTCTGTTTGACAGTTGAAATGCGTTTCTAATTCTCGTGCCCTTTTCTGATTGGCTGGAACATCTTAAGGTGTAGATCGCACGTCCAAACCACTAGAGAAAATTTTTGTCAATACTATCGTAATCCATGGTGGAGAGCGTTTTCCGTTCCCCGTCGTTTTTGGCTTACGTGAAAAATATAAAGTTTTCTACAATAAAAATATCATTCCATCATACTACTTGAAGCTAACTTGCTCCGTGATTAGTCGGTTAGTGGTAGGCTGGTGAAGTTCGCCACAATGGTTTGTAAGCAAGTTTCGTTTTACCAAAGCTTTTCATAAAGTTCTAAAAATATTTATTATTTAGTTCATTATATGGTGCATGCATATCTAACCAAATCATCTGTCAATGTAGACAATCTTTATATATATATGGTCAAATATACTTGGTTTTGTCATAGCCTAAGTGAATGGGCACGTGTTGTTAAGAACGTAAGGACATTAAGCTGTCAGTTGTGTTTTCTCCTTCCATGGCCCTCACGAGGGTGCATTAGACTAGTTCGTGTGAAAGTAACTACGGAATTTTATAAAGAATCATAAACATAGTGAAAAACTGTCTAATGCAATTGCGAAACTCGTGTGTGTTACATTCACCTCCATGTAACGAAGATTTGAAGCGGACAGTCATCCGATACTATTTAAGTGCAAGAAAATTTCGATCTAGTACAAGGAACCGTTATATCAATTCTTGGACTAGCACTACATAATGTTAAGCGTTGTTTAGCATTGATACCCATGTGCCTTGCTGCTCCTTTGTTTCTCCTTTTTCAGAATCTTGCCCTGAGGGCACAGCTTTGTAGCTTCTAACTCCTGAAACGAACTTGACATAAGCGTTTTCTCAAGGTCATAGTTCACACCAAGCGTTCTACAAATATACTTTATAACAAATATGCATTCGAAAATTTGCATTGCATAAATACTTAGCACGACCAGAATTCTCACTTAATTATGCCGAGAATGGATGTGGTGTGTAACGTACACACGATACCACTTTGAGAAACATTTAACGACTGTACATATTGTAGTACTAAAGCATAAACATGATCAATAGCACTCCAAGACATCTCCATTATTGTACTTTCATGTACTTTTATTGATTTCATTTATTCAACGACCGTACTTGGGAAACATACTGTAAGCAAACTAGTGTTGTGATTTTTTGATCATGCCTGGAAAAATAGCGTGTGCCTACCCTGGCTGAAATGTTATTACAGCACTATAAAATGGATTTATATAGGTGCGAAAGTAATTTGAGCCAAACACATCGCATCGATTGAATGAGCAATTTAAGGGAAATATAACCCGGCAAGCAATTCACAGTTCAAACTCAATGCACAATTTCGGTGTTCTTATTTTCTGTCTGACCATGGTACTCGGAAATTGTAAATTAGGCTCTTTACGGGCAGACGTGTGTTCACATTACATAGTGACTGTACTTACAAGTGGCTGATATTTTAACTGACATATTACACTGGGTCATGTACATGCTCTTAACAATTGTTAAAGAACCTTTATAGTCGATTACAATCATAGATAACTGGTATTCTTTAACTGAGCGAGTTAACTGAGCTTGAATGCTAATCTATACCAAAATAAAGTGGCGAATGTTCGAAATAATCCAAAAACGTATGTGACAGCGATGAAAATGAAAAAAGTATGAAGTCCAATTATAAAAATAATCATGATACTTTGCACAAATCAATGTCCCGCTCACCAGTGTAGATCACCGGTGTGGGTGAACTGTGTCGATGATTTGGTGCCTTCTCAAGATGGGCAGTAATAATATGACCAGCTAGCTTACGTCAAAATCACACCTCGAGGTTAGTACCTAACGTGGAGTACGCTTTTACCGTATCCACGTAACATAGTTACTTTAATGACAGTAACAAAAACGTATTGCTGAGACAGAAATGTGTTAGCAAGAATGGAAAGGATAACAATATGCCACTGGCGCATGCACCTGTCCATAGTGTAGTGTTCAATTCAGTAAGTTGGCTGAAAATGCCGTTGAAGTAAATATCCTTCACGAGGTGTGTGTAAAGTCTGAGCTGAATTGACTTCCATGTGACTCAGTTAAAAGTGTTGATCTAATCAACCAACTAATCAAAAGTCGT